CTGCTAAAGTTCTGAGCTTATGGACATGAAGATTAACAAACACGATTCAGACCATTATTTTTAAGCATTATATCTAGCACAAGCAAGGCATCTATGTTGAAATCCCATTTGATCCATATATCAGTTTGCAATGATGCCCTCCTCTCATTCTACAGTCTTGTCTTTCAATTGTTATTCAAATGAATAATATATCATTAATCAGAACTTGTCTATCTTACAGAACCATATCTGGTCACAAGAAACTCATTAACAATCAAATGCCATTTCAAGAAGTCAAAGATATGGTATTTCAAACACACCCATCTCATTATTCTGCCACATTAATTTTTCCTTTAGAAGAAAAAAATATGAAAACAAATTTAAATTTTATACTTACAAGTTTTTCACGAGCTCATTCATGTCCTTTAGACCTCATATTGGGTTTGACATGTATCAAAACCTGAGCAAAATGAAAAAACTTAATAAAGTTAATATTCCTTCTTATTCCATGTATCACTGCTTAGGCTCTGGAGTTTTTACATTAACTGGCACGGAACCAAAAGTGTATTAAATTTTGCCTTCTATTGTAGTAAAGATTGTAGTGACCAACTAAAATATCACATCACTTTACATATTGGAGGACCAGAACTTTGTTCGCGTCCCTTCCTGTGTTGTATTTTTTTTCAGACACAATTAGCCTACCTGAGTAGAACCACCTCATGTTCTAGCTGCGAATGCCCTCTTCGGCATCACATTGAAGAAGAAAGTTAACAATCCCCAGCGGGATTCCAACCCTAAAGCGCGTGAGCAAGTGGTTGAAGTAAACCTATACCATAAGCACTTGGCACTGATGCCCCCTTCCCAATTTTCTTTATTTCTGGCATGAAGTAGCACATAAGCTTATCTACCTCTCCATAACCCAAGCTGGATGTTTTAGACAGAAAAGACCCAAAGTCCCTTGTGAAAAGATTCCAACCCTTACAGTGAGTGGCACATGATTTGAAGTACAGCCACTTTAATCACTCCAGAAACATGAAAGCCCAAACAGATAAAACAAATTGAAATCACCTGGCCTGTTAAGTATGTGGGGAAACCATGAAGATGTGCAATTTTTTTTAAGACTATAATATATCTTACTCACCTTGAGCTTTTTAAGAACATTTACAACCTTTTAACTTTTCTATTCTGTTGTAGAAATCCAGAGTTGCTTCCAAAGTGTCACCTACAGGCTTCCTGTATTAATATACCAAATGTACATGATGATCCATATATTATAAATATTAAATGTAAAAAATACATTGTTTACCATTACATTGCAATTAAGCAGTATCGCCAGATATTCTACTTGAATCCTGGCTCCAATGTTCTGATACACCTTAGCTAAATGTCTCAAATAAATATACTGAACAGTTACATATTAAGAAACCAACAACCAACGCACAACAAAACATTCCAAAATGCTGCATTTGAAATTGTCATCATTGAATTATCTTTTAACTATTCTTAGCGTATACACAACACACTAAAAATACAACTTACCAATCCAGTTAGAGATTTTATTATTTCCTTCCCAAAGACAAAATTCTTCAAGTTTTCTGTAAGGAGAATGAGAAAAATATTTAGGCTAATGTTCAATTATTATCACATAATAAACAAGCTCCAAAGCCTTTAATCTGGGCAACAAATATTTGCCTATTCATAATCTAACCTTCAATCATCAAACATCTTTTTAAAGCTCCCTTGCCAACGATTTTTTCCTATATAATCATTTTTTCAAAAACATTACGACTATAATGCGATTTAACTAACTATTTTCTTGCAAGGCCCTTAAGACTATTTTAAGAAAAAAATTATAAAGTCACATGACTATCAGCTTAAAATCAATTGATATTTTTCAGCAAACACTTTACAGAATTCTTTTATTTTATAAAAATTAGAGTAAAAATAAAGACCGTTACTGAGACCGTTCAGGTTTGCAATTTTTTCAATACAATTTGTGGAAAGTGCCAGATGCCCTGTAAATACAACACAGAGAAAATTGATAATACTTCATGCTAATTAAGTGTATAAAATCAAAATATCCTGTTTACGAAAAAATACCCAGGAGAGGATCGGGATGATTGCATAGAAATAAATATAAATAAATAAAAATATGTTTTAAAAATCTGCTCATTCTCTTTAACCAAAGATACCATACTTACTCATTGTTCAGGCTTACTGCTTCAAGCTAGGTGGTCTCTATTGTTATAAGTTATACACTATGCTTGATATATCAATGAATAATCAAACTTCCCTGTAAAAAGGATTTAGTCTTAAAAATAATTCATTTCAACAAACTTTTTCTTTTGCTGTAATGCATGAAACCAGAAGAAGCCATATTTAATGCCAAATCAATCTGTTTTACAAATTTAAAAAAAAAACTTATTGATACTTAATAATTACAAATACATTCAGAGTACAATGTATTTCAAAACTGCTACAACATTTTATTAACATTAATTGCCTTATTCTAATTCATACAGTCTTCAATGTTAGATTTCACTCTACAAGTTCATAAATAACACAAAAAACATGCACTGCGACACTTTCTAGTAATCATAAAGTTAACTTAAAGCATCAACAAAAAACCTTAACCAATATAAAGCATTTTATGTTGGCAAAGAAAATCTTAACTTTTGTTAATGTAAACATGCTAGATATAAACAAGCCATTCTGAACATAAAACCACACAATAGAATATTATACATTCTTACAAAACCAGTCACATAGAAACATAAGTTTTGGGCTTATCAATTACCCAAGCTAATTGTCTCTTGATGTAAATAAAAAAAGAAGGAACACACTGTTACAATGCAGTGCTAAAGTAATTCATCGGCTAAGTTGACGGAGGTACATGTGTATAACATAGTCATAGCCAGTTAATTCGATCTTCACTTTTAGTGAAAATTGGCCAAGCTGGTTATTTCCCTTAGCAAATTAAATTAGCCAGTTACTTCCCTTAGAAAAATAGCATAGCCAGTTACTTCCTTACAGTTACTTATTTGTTAAATTATCCATACATACAAGAAACATGGCAATGCCACGAAACCAGGTTTTCATTATCACCATTGTAGATAAATATGTTGTAGTGAAATACAAATACAAGCAAAACAAACAAATCAAACTATGTGCAATGTAAATCATGAATAATGTAGGAGGAATTGCATAGAGAAGAACTTTGCTCACTATATATTCTGTATAAGGAAAAAAAACAAAGGGCCATAATTAGGTCAAATATTATTCAATCACAAAACCCTGACAATATGCGCCAGGGCACTTGATGACAAAGCTTCTGTGAAAGTTTGGTCAAAATCCGTTGAGAAATGAGGGAGTTGCACACAGAAGAAATTGTTCACTATTATATACTAGATAGGAAAAAACAATGGGCCATAATTAGGTCAAATATTATCCAATCACAAAATCCCGACAATATGCGCCAGGGCACTTGATGACAAAGCTTCTGTGAAAGTTTGGTCAAATCCGTAGAGAAATGTAGGAGTTGCCCACAGAAGAAATTGTTCACTATATATTCTATATAAGGAAAAAAAAACAAAGGGTCATAATTAGGTCAAATATTATCCATCAATCAAAAAACTACCAACAATATACACCCAGTGCACTTGATGACAAAGCTTCTGTTTTAAAGTTTGGTCAAAATCTGTTGAGAAATGTAGGAGGAGTTGCGCATAGAAGAAATTGTTCACTATATATTCTATATAAGGAAAAAAAACAAAGGGCCATAATTAGGTCAAATATTATCCAATCACAAAACCCGACAATATGCGCCAGGGCACTTGATGACAAAGCTTCTGTGTGAGTTTGGTCAAAATCTGTTTGAGAAATGTAGGAGGAGTTGCGCACAGAAGAAAGTGTTTACGCCCGCCCGTCCGCCTGCCGACATACCTCAATCTAATAACCAGTTTTTTTACTTCGGAAAAACCTGGTTAAAAAAGACCCTGTTTTAAACAATATTTTTTGTGTTCCTTTTCTATTTAAGACAAGTCTCCTAACATAAATGTCATGATTCACATATTCTGTAAAAAAATAATTATTTCCTGTAAAATAATATATAAGAATCTTATATAGAGCTATTTTGATTTGCTTTTCAAGATAGAATTTGAGCTTAGTTCTGTAAATTTAACTCTATAAAATATGTGCACCATCTTTAAGAAATAAACAATTCAACCAAATTTCATTTTCTAAAATTGATAATAGCATAAAATACTATCACATTTAAAGAAATAGTATTAAAGCATCATTCTGAATAAAAGTTGACAGTCAGAAGTGACAGTCATTAATTTAGTAGTAACATCTTTTTTTAAAGAAATATTTCTTTTAATAACAGGAATTGTGATTTATTTGTGACATGTATTTTAAGCCCACTGTTACATAATAAATTGTGAATCATACAACAAGTCCCTTATATTCAATTCAAGATACATACCTTTAACACATGGACATAACCTTAATAATGTACAAATTAATCACTTGTTGAATGATACTGTATTATTTTTCAAAAATTTTATAATGTGTTATTTGTCATTAAAATATCAAATCCCCAGGAAGTTTTTTTACCATAGATTTTCTTTGCAAAAAGAACTGCAATTCAGCTAAATATTCAAATAAAATTTTCATATACATACTTAAATATAAGAGAAAAATAGAAAAATAAATGAATCAATGAAGATGTAAGTTTTCAGAAGTTCTTTTCTGAAAGAATCAAACACCAGCAGCCATCACAAACCAAAATATTTGGTAAATGTTTTGCGGCAAAGCCTATATTACCACCTTAAACTGTTGGGCTTCAGCATTATATACTTGTCTGTATTTCTTCAGTTATATCCTGTTTTCTCTACAAATAACAGCTAATTTCATAATAATGTCAACGGCTGTACAAGACTTTTCAGATACAGAGAATAACTGTTTGAAAATTATTAAATAGGAGAAATAACATTAAAAAAATTGTATACAATAAAGATTTTGTCACCTAAAGAGAAAGAACACTTACTCGCATTTTGCCAATGTTGACAGTGATGCATCCATCTTTTCTACTGGGTGGAATTTGTGCATACATGACCACATGTGCAGCTTCACTTGCTTTGCAGCCTTCCTTTTCCTCCTATCAAAATTTTGTAATTACAATATTGTAAGAGTTATTTGAAAGTAGGTGACACAAGTAAAAAGTTGGAGCACTGGAGTCCAAATATGGAATAATAGGTTTGCCCATCAAACTTAACTGTAGGCAGAGGTCCTCTTTCACCCTCGTAAATCCACATTGGTGCAATTAATACTAAAGAAATAGGAAAATGCACGTTTACTAGTATATATAAATAGACTTGAAGTTTCTGTAACTAGTATGATTAATCTAACGGAATCTATTGCTTAATTATCATGCCACTGCTTAACTGGTTTTGTTTTTGTTCAAAGCCTTGATAATGGCTGTGCTGTCACCTAACCAATATACAAACATGAGTGTCCTGCCTCCCCACGGCACATTTCATTAAGTCTCAGATAAAAATGGCCGCAATATTTCAATTTTTGACATGGCGCCTATGATGGGGTAGCAGTAAACATGGTAAAGTGCATTCTACTCATTCTATATTAACATGTCATGGGTTTGTGCTTCAAACTACAATGTAGAATGTGCATTCTACAAAAAAATACAAAGGATCTTGAAAGACGACTTTATGTAGGTTTAATTTATGGTTCCCAAATAGATACAAATTATAATGCAGATGCTCTATAGGATAATGTGTTTATGTTCATTGCCCAAAACTGACCTATTTTAGTGAAACAATGGTGAACAAGTTTGTGAATTAATTATTATGACAGTACAATTCACGATTTACTAAGTGCTTTGAAGACTTCCATTTTATTATAAAAACATGTAAAATGATCTATTTCAGTATTTTACTTACGAACTTGGCGATAGCATCTTTTATAGTTGTTCCCTTCGACTGAAATGAAAAAGGCGGTAAGTATATATTTTTCAACTGAACTATGTCTTAGAGGAATTGAAAATATATTTCATTATTGCAAATATATAATTAGTTAATGTAAAAAAGAGCAAAAAAAAAAAGACTTACCATTTTGACGAGTCGTTGCTAACGAAAATAATATTATTCGGTGAACTCGGATATTATCCAAAGTTGTATAAACCCCGTATAACCGTACATTATCTGTACATAAAATGCCCGTACCGAATTCAAATTTTTCTAAAAACCAATCCATAATAACTTGTTTAATCTAATTTTCAATGCATTTATTGTTGTTTTAGATATTTTAGCATTCTCATTAAGCAGACCTACAGTATGCACGTTGAGTTTGTCTTCAATTTTTAGTAGACAATTTGAAATGGTCACATTTTGTTTCTTGGTATGATGAGCCTCTAGAAAATATTTTTTATTCTCCTTTTCATCAGTCGGATATTTCAACCACCATGAGAGGTTATCTTCCAAAACGACCCGCACATGGAGTTAAAAGAAAGACATTTTAAGAACCTATAGAGTGTAACATTTTGATATAAACTTTAACAAAAAATGATAAAAAAAACTTTGGAATTACCCAGAATCTAGTTTTTCCATGTTAACATGTGGTCTGTCACCTAATTTTGGTGAAAAATCGTTGTTTTGTAACATTTTTATTTCTTTAGTTAATAATGTCATTCTTGTTTTGAACTGAAAGATGACAATGGAACCTACTGTACTTTTCTCCAAACAATTCGCAGTTTGTTATCAATTAAAAAAATGTATGACGATTAGAGTGTAACATTTTGATATAAACTTTAACATAAAATGATAAAAATAAACTTTGGAATTACCCACAATCTAGTTTTTTCCATGTTAACATGTGGTCTTTCACCTAATCGATGCACGATTAGCAATGCCGTCTTAAAGATATACTATGCTCATCTTTTTATCATAGAAATTTATTGAAAATTATGAAATTCTAATGGAAGTTGTCTAATTTGAACTGGAAACTATTAAAGATATCCAATAGTGATGTGATAGTTTCAATAAGGAAATAATTCATATAAATTCCATTTCGAGGTCCATCAAGAATAAGCGTCAGTATGGAACGCCAAATTGAAATAAACTCAATTATTAAGTTTGAAGTGCTCAACAGTTACAAATGTATCTGAATTCATTTTTTGTAGATAAATTCACTATTGAGCAGTTTTATACGGTGGCTGATTTGTGTCATTCGTGTTTTTCGCTCCGCGATCCCGCCAAGCAAAAAAGTCGAGAATGAACAAGTTAAAATGACGGGCCACAGAGCGAAAAGTCGCTAATTAGCGGGGGCGCAGAGCGAAGTTCAAGGAAATAAAACTTTACCCCGCGGGGGCGCGGACCGAGATTTAAGAAATAAAACGACGGGGTGCGGAGCGAAAACACGCTAATTAGCAGAGGTGCGGGACGAAGTTTAATAAATAAAATTTCGCCCCGCGCCCCCGCTTAATAGCGTGTTTTCGTCCCGCGAACCCCAAACGAAAAGTCGAGATTTAACCATTTAAAATAGCGGGGACGCGGAGCGAAATCCCGCTCATTAGCGATCGGGGGGGGGGGGCGAAGTTTAACAAATAAAACGTCGCCCCATAGGGGCGCGGAGCGAGATTTAAGAAATAAAATGGCTGGGGCGGGTAGCGAAAACACGCTTATAAGAGGGACGCTAATTAGAGGGTGCGCGAGGATAAGTTTAATAAATAAACCCCCCGCGCTGCCGCTAATTAGTGTGTTTTCGCCCAGCGGCCCCGCCAAGCGAAAAGTCGAAAATTAACAAGTTAAAATGGCGATGTCGCGGGGCGAAAACACGCATGGCACAAATCAGCCACCATAGTTTTAGTTAACTGCTAAAATGTACTTCGGTTAAATTGATCTGTGGCTATATGTATAGCATGCATTTGTTTGAATCAGTTTCATCTCTTAAAATTCAATGTTCTGCTTTGAAAATAATTAAATACTAGCCAAGTTTAGTTTCTGCTATCGAATTAGTTCTTACTAAAATTATTTCGAATTATTCCGGCCGTAGGCCGATCTCTTTTCAGTTTGACTCCCTGTTATATTTCCAGGGAACAACTGAGTTTATGTAAAAATTTCATTAGTCATTTTAAAATAACAATCTGAAATCTCGGAATCTGATTGGCCATTGTCAAATTAGTAAAATGACATAAAGGATTTTTTCTGACATGGTATACGCGTCCAATTTTTAATTGATCTAAGGAGTTTGGAAACGAATTATCTTCTTTCATAAGTTCTTATACTATCAAGTTAAATTCTAGATACTTAAGTTCTGTTTAAATTCTAAGTTTTATATTGCCATGCATCCTGCAGATTATTTTACGACGTTTTAAAGAGATATACATTTTGTCAAACATAAACGGAACCACATCTGTACGTCCACTTTTCCGCTTACTCATGTGCATGAAAATAGCGAAAAGCAAAGTTTTTTTTAACAAGAAAACGAACTTATCTGTTATTATCAGTTATATACAAAGTTTATAATTTTCATATATTTTTAATATTTATGAAGTATCTATATAATCGCTAACGATGAAATTGTTTGTTTATAATAAATGTTTGTCAAAATATTTTAGTCCAGTAAAATGTTTTGTCCAGTAGTGAATAAGTAGTACGTATTTTTATGACAACCTCGAAATTTTTTAGGGCACCAGGTTGATTCATATTAAGGAAAAACAAGGCAAAAGGCTGATTGTAGGCTTACGTCCTACAAATTCATTACCGGACAAATCATTTTACTAAAACCACTAAATTATTGCGTAATGATTTTTTTCTATAATATGGTCATGAAATACCTGAAAAAAATAAAGATATCAATGACTTTTTTGGCAATTTTATCCTAGTGTTTACTACTACTTCACTGCATGTGAAATTTGTTTTTCGATTCCAACTGATAAAAGACCGTTAACAAACCTTATAAAGTTACATATGAATTCCTTAAACATTGCAATGTTCCGTGCAAGTAGAATATTCAAAGACTAACAGTTGATTTAATACAGTGATACAAGACTTTCTAGATCTAGTTCAACGACATGATCTAGGCCTTTTATGCCTAAATTGCATTACGGGCCGCCTGCCGGTCAAGTTGTAGGGGTCTTACAACAGAAATCAGCGATAGATAATTTCCCCTGAGGTCACATCTAAAATGTGCAATTATCTTATTATTAATTAATAAAATTAATAAATACCACAACTGAATAGATTCTGATATTATAAGATAAATAGGTTTTCCAGTAGAATCTTAAGCTTATGGTAATTTTGTTTCATTTCCTAGTATGTAAATTGTAAGCATTGTTAAATAAAGTAAGTTTTAACCAAAGAGGAATTTATTGTAATTCTCTACAAAAAAAATCCTACGCAGTGACCCCCTTGATCAGAACAATCTGCCAAGGGAGGTAATCACTGTGAGGATGTATGTAGTCTTACCAGTGTCACATTTGCGTGCTGCTCAAGTTTATCTCTTGCAACCCATCACATTACCTTTTCTATTTAAGTATAAAAATTGAATGTGTATTATCATGATAATTTGGTCTTAACGGTACTTGGGGAAAGTTCAGTAAAGGGTAAGTATGCATATTATTTGAGATTGAAAGTGTCAACAACTACATTTTGTATATATAGTTTAATTCTAAAAAAATATGTACCATCGTTTAAAAGCTCAGTTCACAGTAACTTGAATTATTTGCACGTTTATGTTTGAACTCTTCGCTCTCCCATGTTACTATGGTGTTGTTGTTGTTGTTGCTGTTTTTCTCCCTTTTTCACTTTGTCTGTCTTTTGTATGATCATTTGAATATACATGTATTTGGTTCTTATAAATTTCTACTTCTATTTTATGTTTCTTTTTTATTTCGTTTTTGTTCCACTCTTTATAAAGAAACTAACTACATTTCTAGTGATTTTTTAAAATTTTATTTAACATTTTAAAAATCAAACAATTTTAAACACACTACGATTACGAAATATAATTTGAATATAACACATTTCATTATATTTCTTACATTTCTGATAATGCTTTTTCCTGATGTTTGACGTTTTCCCAAAACTTAACACAACTGCATATCAACCTTTGTACAAAAATATTCTATCTAACTATTGGAAACAAAACTGGCCAAATAAGAAAAAGATACATGATAAAACACTCAAATGAAATGGTAACTATGATAGGAACATCTTAATGCTTGAAAACACTGACACGGACGCTGGCTCTGCCTACTGCACTATCAAGGCACATGAAAATATGACGTTTACTTTAAGGTTTTGCATTGGTATTAATTTTTATGTAAACATAGGCTTAAGTTATCGTCCTGGGACAGTACTCCGGCAAAAATGCCCCAGGTTAAATATTTGAAAAAACAACGTTGAAAAATATCTCCCAATATTAATGCATATAAAAAGTTTTTGAAATTCTTTTTTGGAAAATTTAAATATTTTTAATCCCAAAAAAGAAAAGTAAAAAAAAAACTTTTAAACTCAAAAATTTAAAAATAAAAATTTCCTTTTTTAAATTGGCTTAAAAACCCTTAATGATAAACCGTTGTTTGGTCTTTTTTGTTTAAAAAATTTTAAAAAGATTTTACCTCCTTTTCAATATTAAAGGGGGGGCTTTTTTAAAATCCCCTTTTGGGGGGCCCCTCTTTGCCCCTTCTGGGAAGGGGGATCTGTGATCGTGTATGTGTCGCACGGGGCCCCTTTTTTTCAAAAAAGGTTCCCGGACTGTATGGGTTGGCCCTGGTCGAAAACTCATAAACTTTTAACATTAACATAGGGTTTTTTTCCGATTTTAAAATCCTAATTATGACAAATAAAATCTTATATAGGAGGTGCTTCAAAAGACTTAATTCAGAATAACTTTTTTAGAACTTCTTATATGCAAATTAGGCAAAGTTGTTTTGAACCCTTACGCCGTTAGTATTACTGACTCTATTTTAAATGTTAAAGTACCCTCCCCTTGAGCCTTTACGTCATTTGCAATGTCATCAGGGGGAGGTCACTCTAATCGACTATTTTTATGAGCGCAAAAGTTACCTCCCTTTGAACCCTTACGCCATTTGCAATGTCATCAGGAGAGGTCACTCTGAAACGATTCTTTTTTTTGACTGCAACGTTTACCTCCCTTTGAACACTTCCGCCATTTGCAATGTCATCACGGGAGGTCACTCTGATATCGACTCTTTTTATGAAATGCAACAGTTATCCCCCTTTGAACCCTTCCGCCATTTGCAATATCATCAAGGGAGATCACTCTGATATCGACTCTTTATGTGCGCAACAGTTACCTCCCTTTAAACCCTTACGCCATTTGCAATGTCATCAAGGGAAATCACTCTGATTGACTCTTTTTATGAAGCGCAACAGTTACCTCTCTTTTGAACCCTTACGCCATTTGCAATGTAACCAGGGGAGGTCACTCTGATCGACTCTTTTTATGAGCGCAACAGTTACCTCTCTTTAAACCCTTACGCCATTTGCAATGTCACCAGGGGAGGTCACTCTGATCGACTCTTTTTATGTGCGCAACAGTTATCTCCCTTTGAACCCTTCCGCCATCTGCAATGTCATCAAGGGAGATCACCCTGATATCGACTCTTTTTATGAATGCAACAGTTATCTCCCTTTGAACCCTTCCGCCATTTGCAATGTCATCAAGGGAGATCACTCTGATATCGACTCTTTATGTGCGCAACAGTTACCTCCCTTTGAACCCTTACGCCATTTGCAATGTCATCAAGGGAGATCACTCTGATATCGACTCTTTTTATGTGTGCAACAGTTATTTCCCTTTGAACCCTTCCGCCATTTGCAATGTCATCAAGGGAGATCACTCTGATATCGACTCTTTTTGTGCGCAACAGTTACCTCCCTTTGAACCCTTACCCCATTTGCAATGTCATCAGGGGAGGTCACTCTGATCGACTCTTTTTATGTGCGCAACAGTTATCTCCCTTTGAACCATTCCGCCATTTGCAATGTCATCAAGGGAGATCACTCTGATATCGACTCTTTTTGTGCGCAACAATTACCTCCCTTTGAACCCTTACCCCATTTGCAATGTCATCAGGGGAGGTCACTCTGATCGACTCTTTTTATGTGCGTAACAGTTATCTCCCTTTGAACCCTTACGCCATTTGCAATGTCATCAGGGGAAGTCACTCTGATCGACTCTTTTTTTTTACAGCAACAGTTACCTCCCTTTGAACCCTAACGCCATTTGCAATGTCATCAGGGGAGGTCACTCTGATCGACTCTTTTTATGTGCGCAACATTTACCTCCCTTTGAACCCTTACGCCATTTGCAATGTCATCAGGGGAGGTCACTCTGATCGATTCTTTTTTTTGACAGCAACAGTTACCACCCTTTGAACCCTTACGCCATTTGCAATGTTATCAGGGGAGGTCACTCTGATCGACTCTTTTTTTTTACCGCAACAGTTACCACCCTTTGTGAACCCTTACGCCATTTGCAATGTCATCAGGGGAGATCATTCTGATCGACTTTTTTATGAGCGCAACAGTCACCTTCCATTTGAACCCTTAAGCCATTTGCAGTGTTATCAGAAGAGGTCACTCTAACCGATTCATTTTGTAGCGCCACAGTCACTTTCTTGTTTTCAGGGGAAGTCACTCTAACTGACTATATTTTAAGCGCAACAGTAACCTCCATTTAAACCCTTGGCCATTGCAAAATTAGTAAAATTACACAAAAGATTTTTTTGATATGGTCCACGCATCTAATTTTTGATTAATCTTAAGGAGTCTGGAAACGAAAGATATAAGTTCTTTGACTTTCAAGTTAAAAGATATACTATGGTTAAATGTTATATTAGAATTTTTGTAATCTATACGTAATTCATTTGATTATGATGAATACAACACACCAGAATATACATATTATAAGATTAAAGTACAGTACATATATTTGTAACACGGAAAGCTATACAAAAGGATGTACTTAAATTTGGTAATTAAGTCTTGAAGGATGATTCAATTAATTGACTTTCTATAGAGTTCTTTCATTAGATAACAACACTGAAGACTCAATAGTATGAAAAAGGCAAAGCCTCAAACAAACTCGATTTACTTTTACGGTGAAAGTATAGAACAATCGTTCATTTTTATTTTACATTTTCCGTTTTAAAATTGTCATTTGGATTTGGTATTTTATACACTGGTTCCATGCCCTATTTTGGTTCCCATATAAGTGCGCAGGGCACCAATCTACGCTTCCGTTTTCAATCAGAATACCTCGGCTTTTATTGTTATCTTGTAATTCGAAAAGTTACGATGTGTCAATTCAGTGCTTAGGACGAAAGTTTATAAAACCATCACTATCTAGCAGGTACTCGCGTTACCGTAAGGCTCGCTTTGCGCGCAGGCCCATCCGGCCAGCTCTTCGAGCTCGCTATAACTGTTTCAATATTCTATACTGCAGTCAATAAACGGGTATTTCACAAATGAATTTCTTTATTTTTCATCTAGCAACTTGTCTGGCAATTCACTGCCCTAGTCTGTTGGAACATCACCTCTTCCTTGCCTCATTAAAAGCTTTGAAAGAATTTGAGTCACTTGTTAGGGACCTTGGGCAGAAAATGACCCCTATTGATATTGCGGACAGTAGATTAAAATCAACATGGCCTTGACAAAAATGCATCGTATTTTCAAGCAGTGTATACCTCAGTGCTTTCAGTGCTTTGATTTTATAATATTTCTACAAATTCTTTGTTGTTTTTTGTGTGTGTGTGTGTGTGTGTTTTTTTTTTTTTTTTTTTTTTGGGGGGGGGGGGGTGGTAGGGAGGTTACGTCACACCGACAAAGTATAGGTCAGCTTTACCGGAGGAGGAAGACCTCAGGTGCCGTATTTATGAAGAAGTTATATAACCGCTAATGATTGAATGGTTTGTTTATAATAAATGTTTGCAAAAATATTTTAGATAAGAAGGCTCTATTCCGGTTCTTTTTTTCGGATTTTATGTTTCTTTCGTATTTCCAAAGGTATTGCAAATCTGCTGAATCGGGTATTTCGTATCAACAAAACGTTGTCATTTATTAACTTTTTATTAAAATTTCGATTGGAACAAACTTCAATAACTTAAATGTTTTTCTTTGAGCTAAAACGACATTCACAATAATAGAAATAAAAGAATTACAGAACGGTTGAAATGAACTGAGACGAGAAAAATTGAGTAGGAAATAAATTTTGTTTGTCGTTCTTATTTACTTCTTCTTTACTTTTAAAGGATTTACTTCAGACTTAAGATTTTGTTTCTATTAAAATACTTTGTAGTTGCAAAAATATGCACATGATTTTAATATTTCAAAAAAATAAACGTAAAATTCAATACAGGGTTCAACAACATTATTTTTATGATTCTTTTTCCATGTTTTCTAATATACGATATGCAAATAAACCAGTTTTAGTTCGATACATGTACCTTTAAATGTTTGAAATTATGTAAAGTTTGCGTTCCATACGATAGTTTTTAAATGCTGTAAAGTGTTTAGGTAGGCATTATGTAACGCTGGGTACAATAAAAAAATACGGAGAGTATTCGTACATATTGATAAAAGAAAGTTAAACGTTTAGGTATGCATGTGTATGCATGATATTTACTCGTATATTCTATCTTTTGTAAGTTTACAATGTTTAAAGTTTTTTACGGATGTTAAATTGTTAAATATCAAATATTGGATTCCATATACATGTAGAAAGGTATTAATTACAAGATATTTCAGTAGTATACAACATGGCGGAATTTCTTTGACAATATGAATGACATTTAAACCGGTAAGTATAGTTTGCTTGTGGTCTGTGTGGTCTGAAAAAGATTGCATAGTCGATCCGTGGGCTGAAGCTGACATTCGTAACTTTAAGGGCCTTTTCCTTATACGTCTTTAAGGGTTCCGGTAAGAGTTTGGTTGTTTTTTAAGGCCGACTTTAAAACACATTCAGTCAATGTGGCCATACCACGTGACTTTTCGGGTACAGAACACGCCGATTTTTCACCCGATTCAGGTATGTTTTTTATTCATAACTTATTTATTACTCAACCGATTTTGATCAGATAAGGCGCAGAGTACCCGTAATTATATCAGCTTTCCACGGTATATTAAAATTCTGAAAACCCCTGTATGGTTTTTGAGAACATTCGAGTACAGTTTTCTTCTCATAGCCGGGGCCGAGGGGAACGGTACACACTCATTTGTCATAACAAGCGATTTCTTGCAAGTCATATGTTTTTTGTCACTATTTCATAGAAAAATACATGTTAAATCTGATATATTTAATATGTCCAATGTATCGAGTGAATGTAGTGATTGTTTTAGCATATTTTCATAAAGTTATGTTGAAATGGTACGGAACACACTGTTATCTGAAAAGATACGGTACACACACAATTTCTGTCTTTAATATAATTCTAAAATAAAATATATGAAATTTAATTTAAATTATAATATGAGTGATTTTTTTCATAGTTATACATTTTATTAATTTAAACAAGAACCTGGAACCTGTTTTGCAATGTACCATTATGCTTACTTCAAATGTTAATATGTATTTGTGCATTATATTTCAGTAGTAATTGTCCTACTAGTACTTAAAATCACCTATGGTATGTTAAACACTTCGATCTTCAAGGAATCATGTAGTTGCGTTTCATGATTGTTCTAGAGAAAGAAATGTTGTTTTAATGCTGTGTTTATTGTTGTTGTTTTCATTTCTTTTAGTTTTAGTGAAGTGTAAGTCTAAGATATGTCTATTTGCTTCCTCCTGAAAAAATAAAACAATGTCATGACCTAAATCGCGGAAAAATATCATTACTTGATAACATTATATGTATTTATATTTTGTTAATAATAAGTCACTAGGTACAGTTTTGCAGTATCATGGTCATGTTGAATTAAATCAAAACACAGAAGGCGCTGAATTTATTTGGGTCTCAGAATGTCAGAAAGGTGAAGGTTATGAGATTACAAACCAATTTGTTTTTGTATAGTGCCACCAATGCTGTTTCCAGTGTTATAACTGTAGTAAATTGGCTATAATGCTTATTGCAACACTGATATTCATTTCAATGTTTATTTGGCTTGAAAAAAACAAAACAAAAAAAACAAAAATAAATAAAAACATGAGTTGCCTTAAATGGGATTTGAGCTCAGGACATCTCTCTCTCTCTCTTTCTAAACGAGCGTGTAATTATCCCCTCGGCCACGGGGAGGTTACACGATAACAGCCTGAAGAAACCATATCATTCTAAATTAGGGTTTGTAACCCTTATTCATTTCGTTTAACACTGGTGTAAATAATCATGGAGCTTAATATTGCATTTATATCCGTAAAGAATGACACAATATTTGAAATTTTTGACCAATCGGGAAGTACTTTTCTTCCCCTGAGAATGCTTGAAAATTAATGCGCCTGTCATTTGACTATCTTTACGCAGTGATCTCCCCTTATTTTTTCGGTGTTAGAGTACTTATAAAGATAAGTAACCGCTTCCAGGAGTTCGGACTACTTTCTGATGTTGCAAATAAGCATATCAGAGTCTGAAATTTCGCTACAATTATTTGTTTGGTCTGACGACCCAAACAAATAAAAATGTAGTTGTCATGGCTTAATTTTTTTATGTTTAAAGGCATGAAGCTTTAAGAATAACTTTTAATTCAGGTAATATACGTTATTTTTGGTTTGGTTTCACGGCTCACCAAAACTGACATGATCATGTGGCGACTTTCCAGTTTTACAAGTGCCCCTTTAGGTATATATAAAGGTACGAACAGGCACCTGAGTAGAATGACCGACGTTCTTTTAGTTAGAAAACTTTCTCACATAAAAAATCGAAACATCGAAGTCATATGTGGTCTCGTACCTACTTCATGTAGTATATAAAATAGAACGCAGCCTCCATAGCATTTAATTTACAAAATGGGTATTATTAAAAATATCAAAAGTGTACATGGAGTGCACTATCCTCGTAAGACATTGTTTAATCATTTTATTTTTAACACAAACACGCACGCACACATATCCATGAAATCATGTTTTTAAAGCATCTTTAAATGAAAGTCCAAGATAGGCATAATTTCACCAAAATTTCTTACATGCATATGTAACGAGGTAACCTTGTGTAAACTACGTTACGTTATATAACAGACCTTGTTCCATATGGGTTCTTCAATTTATCTGGCTTTTTATTTTGATTGCACGTAAAACTGCGGAATATCTTTGTCCATATGTAGATAATTTGATAATTAAATACATGCAGTTAGTTTGGGACCCTGGCAGATGAATAATACCAAATATCATGTTGCAGAAAAATACTTTAAACTTTTTCGTGATTTAAAAAATCCACTTTCATCAAAACCAGCGTTTTTTTCTCCAAATTCTCCAGATTTGATCAACATTTAGTTGCTTGTTTGCTTTTTTATTTTCATACTCGGTTAAGACAGTCATTTATATATTCGAACAAAAAATTAAATGGAAGAATAATCGCACATAACAGATGTCCATGAATTTCATAAGTTGTTTTATAATCAGAAAAAAAACATAATTATTTCAAATGAAAAACAAAACAAACACAATTTTGAATGTATTCCGTATCCCTCCCTAAAATAATTACCATTTTTTTTAGCCAAATATTAATTGTTTAACATTTAAAATCGAATTTTGCGCTACGTACTCTCAAAATGTTCTTTTATTTTTTTTTAAGTAATCCTGTTTACATCAAACTGTAAGCATAATGATACATTGCAAAACAGATCCCAGTATTCTCGTTTAAATTAAATAAAATGTATAACTATGAAAACAAATCACTCACAAAGTAAATTCAAAGTAAATTTTCATATACTTTATTTTAGAATTATTTCAAAGACAGAAATTGTGTGTGTACCGTATCTTTTCAAATAACAGTGTGTTCCGTACCATTTCAACATAACTTTATGAAAATATGCTTAAACATCACTACATTCACTCGATACATTGGGCATATTAAATATATCAGATTTAACATGTATTTTTCTATAAAATAGTGACAAAAAACATATGACTTGCAAGAAATCGCTTGTTATGACAAATGAGTGTGTACCGTTCCCCTCGGCCCCGGCTATGAGAAGAAAACTGTACTCGAATGTTCTCAAAAACCATTCAGAGGTTTACAGAATTTTGATATACCGTGGAAAACTGATATAATTACGGGTACTCTGCGCCTTGTCTGATCAAAATCGGTTGAGTAATAAATAAGTTATGAATAAAAAACATACCTGAATCGGGTGAAAAATCGGCGTGTTCCGTACCCGAAAAGTCACGTGGTATGGCCACATTGCTCAATAAAACCGAGTATGCGATGTTCAGCTTTTATTGCTCTTGGGACCCCGCCCCTGTTTTCACTCAGTTATAATAAGAGGTTTGTCTTTATGAGAAAAATCCGTTACATTTCTACTACTTTTCACATTTAATTGTTATCTTCATGCAGGCTGGTCAACACGCAGTCCTGTGGGTCATTTTATGTGATTAGACCTGTATCTAATCTCCTAACTGGATTTCTGTTACAAAGAAAAGGATAAGCACCCGACTAACTTACTGAAGAGGAGGTATGTACAGTCAAACCTGGCTTTAAGACCAGTTCTAAATAAAGATAACCTTGCAAATAAAATCCACTTTTTTGATAACCTTTCATAATGTTTTATTTATAAAATGGAATAAAATAACCCCTAAATAAAGATATACAGACCATGCTCAGGTTGGCTATGCTTACAGGTTTGACTGTGTAATTTACAGTTCAATATACATTGTATTATATAACAATCGGACTTTACAGCAAACGGATTCAATGTAACGCTCTATTTAACGTGAAGTTTAAACAATTAAACCTGACATTAATAACGGGTGATACTGATATGAATATTTAGTTATTCAACACAGGATTGTTACACACATGTACGTGCATAATATTATAATATACTGCAGTGTTGAAACTCAATTTATATCTGTGTATAATTTCCTTTCAGAGGAAGGATCGTTCACAGTTAAAAAAATTGTTAATGCAGATCTATAGGTCAGTATTTTTTTTCATATGTCAAATATCGCTGATATATTTACATTTTTTAAAAGGCAGACTCATAAAATTAATTTTGGCGAAGTTATGCCCATTTTCCGATTTTATTTTTACTCAAAAGTTTTTAAAATACATTGTACTGTATTTGATCTGGGACCTATATTGACTATAAGCACTGTTAAACTAGTAATCATTTCCACTGAAGACTTAGATAGTTACAGTTGAAAAAGATTTGCAATTTGCGCATCATTAGGTGTAAACAAACATCAGGTAAAAATAACTTGAATTTACTTTTCATCATTTTGGCAATTTCATACTCTGAAAATGTCCATCACATATACTTATGACATCTCAACCTCTGTTGACAATCTTGAACAAGCATGGTTATCTTATTAAAAATAGGTGAAGAGAGATGGCGACCAAAACATTTGCTGTAGTAGATGCCTCTGGCTGTACTATGTGTGAACAGTATATGGTTGATGACCTTCAAATGCCAACGTTCATGAAACCTCCGGATGAAGCCGCCGCCATTGTCAGAAATGTTCCGAATATCAAAGTACGTGACGATGACGTCATGTTGGCTACATTTCCAAAATCAGGTACAACTTTACTCAAATCATAGGCAGAGGCACGTTTTGTTATCTTTTGTACCAGACAATTTCAAATGTAAATGGTTGTTAACAGAAACACAGTGGATATAAGCGTAATTAATGCACCATGTATTGCGTGCCTATAAAATTAAATGTGTCTTCCGGTTACAAGAACGTGCTACTTCCTTTCTAGTATGCCTATATGTTTAAACTTGTACTTTTCTCGCGAATAGACTGGTTTATCAACTGTGAGAAAGCATAGACAATAAACCCATTGTCTGCCAGCACTTTAAAGTTTGAACCAATGTGTTTAAAGGGGCGTCCTTGACCGAGTGGTTAAGGTCGTTGACTTCAAACCACTTGTCCCTTATAGCTGTTGGTTCATGTGAGGAAGCTATCCAGCTAGCTTACGGAACATCGGTGATTCTACTCAATTGTCTTTTCGTACCTGAAATAATGCACGTGCATCTGTGGTCATCCTTCACCAGTAAAAACTGAAAATCCGCCATCTGACCTATACTGTGTTGGTATGACGTAAAACAAAGGAAAAAGTGGTTAAAATCGATACGTTGCTAATTTGCTAATTCAACTATAAACTAGTTTATTTTTCAAAAATTCCGTCATTGTTTGGTATCTTTAGGCCTATTTCGTTATTTTCATCCTCAAGGGCATTTGTGATTTCATTAAACTATGGTAATTAATTTATTTTGTGTTATTTTTTCTCTTTGTACAAGGAAGCTCTGTATAAAGTTACTTTAGAATGTATTTTTTAAGTTAAAGTCTAATCTATTTAGATTATTTTATTCGCCTGTCATGTATTGACAAAAAATAAATAAAAATAAACTCAAATCTTACAACTATCTTATTTTATGCATGAGATTTTGACTAATCTTCAGACGGTTGTAAAGTGTTTTTCTTAATTTTGCAAAACAATTTTTTTACAATAAATCACAGTACATTTGTCTGACATACGGCTCATGCTATTTTTTCTATTGATATACAATGTCACTTATAGGGTCATTTGAAGCTTATAGACTTATACCGTATTTTGATACAGTATCGAATACTAATAGACGTATATAAAAATCTTTCAGGAACTAATTGGGGTTATGAAATACTTTCAATGCTACTGAATAGAAAAGCTGAGATAAGTCCAAATATGAAAGTTTGCCTCATGTTAGAAGCCAGAACTGAAGCCGAGCTGGACGAGCAACCATCTCCAAGAGTTTTAAACAGTCATCTACCAATTGCGATGCTACCGAGACAGATGAAAGAGAAGAACACAAAGATTATATGGATCGCTAGAAATCCGAAAGATGCGATAGTCTCACTCTATTATCACATTGCAGGAATGAAAATGTTTCAGTACAATGGCAAATTTGCTGACTTTCTTACGCTCTTTCTGGAAAATAAATGTAAGTATATTGGAAAATATTGTGATTTTGACGATGTAAAAAAGAAACAAAAAAGAAAAAAAAATCTGACGAAAGTTTAGATTTTCTTATGTTTTCCATGTTAAATTGTAGCATATAAAATGTATATTATTATTAAGGAGTGTGGCGCTATAAGGAGCGGATAAAATTCGATAAAATGGGAAATATTACACTTTAAATCAATTAAATTCTATAAATTGCAATAATTTGATGACAAAAGGTTGCTTTCAAATTTATTGCAGCGCAATTTTCAGTGTGTCGTCACAAATTAAAAAGATGTTGTATTTAGGTTTATTGGGGTCAAATTGAAAAGTAAGACACCAGTTTTACACGTTTAGGCGTCTTATGACATTCATGTTTCAAAAACACCGAAGGAGAAACACAAGGATAATGTAAAAACACATACCCGTTTTAAGTGTAAGAAAATACATGTTAAAAATCAGGAATACATTTCTGAAATTCTCGATTCAACAGATTTATGATATCGTTTTAAACATTATTTGAGCTGCGACATGACAAAACCAACATAGTGGGTTTGCGACCAGCATGGATCCAGACCAGCCTGCGCATCCGCGCAGTCTAATCAGGATCCATGCTGTTCGCTATCAGTTTCCCTACTTGTAATAGGGTTTGTAAGCGAACAGCATGGGTCCTGATCAGACTGCGCGGAAGCGCAGGCTGGTCTGGATCCATGCTGGTCGCAAACCCATTATGTTGGTTTTGTCATGGCGCGGTTCATTTGTTGTCTTTGTTTTTTGCAGTACCTTATCAAAGTTGGTTTGAGTATACACTAGATCTTGAAAAGGCAATGTTAGCAGAACCAGACAAAATTCATTTAGTGTACTTTGAGGATATAAAAGAGGTACAAAACATTTTGTCTCTTGATTCAACAAATATGTTCAATGAATGTATACATTTTCCCATACGTTTTATTCAGATTATATCATAAAACTCAATTATATTTTTACCCCTTTCACTTTATATTGCCTATTTTATTTTAATAACATATAATTGTATGATTGTACATGCTATATAACTCAATTTAACATCATTAGCTGAAACATAATTACAATGTACATCAGCTGATTTGTATGCAAAGGGTTGGACAAAAAAGTTATTTCGGAAACAATCGCTTATTATATTTTCAAAAATGTTCTTTCGGAGTACTTACTCCTATCACTGCATATAATTTTAGATCAAACCCAGAAACCAAAAATTAAAATCGCTTCTTTTATTTATCACTGCTTGAAATACAGAATTCAAAAACTCCTGTTATTTTAAAAAATCTGTCAATGACCATTATAAGCAATTATCTAATTTGCTTTTTCTCCTTTCGTTAAAAAGAATGGTGTTGCAGAATTAAAAAGGTTGGCGACTTTCTTGGGAGTTGATGCTGACGACGAACTTCTTAGTGCAATAAATGAGAAATGCTCTTTTAAATCCCTGGCAGCAGAGAAGGCAGATATGCCTAGAGACAGAGTAAAAAATAACTTCTCATTTTTCCGTAAAGGTAAGTTTACATTAATGTGTATTTGTTATCTTTAATGTTCTGTGTCAACATTGTACTACAGTTAAAGCCGGTGCTTGGGGGCTTGAGAGATGTTGCACCTGAAAATTATCTCCCTTGAACAGACTCAATCAAATCGAGTCTGCATTTTTCACCTGCTGAAATGTTCACGAGGAATCTCCGTTTCCAGATTTTTATTTTCATATCTGCAGGTATCAAGTGCTGTGGTAGCACATGTAAAAAGTTTTCTCCGTGCTTCAACCGAATGTTGTTACATTTTCCTGTCACTTCTCAGACTAATACATAAGTGAGCTAAAAATTGAATACTGCATCAGTCGGTGTTAGAGGATATGACATAGGTTGAATATTGAATTGCCTCTCATGAACATAAACCGAACCTGCAGTAGTCACCCTCTGCAAAGTCATGCTGCTTTTGTAGATTATAAACTGATATTAATATCCATAAATGTTTCAAATATTGATAAAAACTATAGAAATATCACATTTTGATATTCTTATAAAATATTGCTTAAAAGAAAAAAAAATGTTAATAAAGTTGTTTCATTATTTTCAGTTTTATGATGAATAACAATATTTTGTTCAAGATGAATTTATTATCAGCTATATGAATAACGTAATGTAATAACAGATCATGTATCCCACACTTGCCCAACAGCATCCATGTACTAGTATAATATTTTCGTGGTTTGTGTTTATGTATGACACTAATTACCATCAACGTAATAATTTATTGTAATACAGACCTTCTATTCTAGATCAATCCACTCTAAACAAATAACACATACAAATCTATTAGTATTCAATGGGTAAATAATAACTTGTAATTTACAAATCAAAAGACCAAAATCAAAAGTAATTGAAATATTGTCTACTGAACGTTTTATGAATAAATCTTAAAGAAAGTATTAAATTCGTGCTCATGACCATATACTAGTATGTGTAATACCGAAACTATCTCCTTGATATGTAGTTCAATATATATTATATATAATTGATGACACAAGTTTCTAAAATATCTCGTATATTTTCTTTCAGGTATCATCGGGGACTGGAAGAATCATTTTACAGTAGCTGAAAGTGAAAATTTTGACAGAATATATAAAGAGAAAATGAAAACATCTTCACTCAAATTTAGATTTGAACCTTCTAATATTGAGGATAAGAAATAGTTTCTTGTGCTAACTAAAGGTATCGACAAAAGAAGACAAAGCTTTGTTACAGATATTTCGATTTGATGAAAACATTTGTAATTTGTAATTATTCAAGAACAATGTGGGCGCAACAAACGACTTCAAGATGTTTTACCAGCCACTACACACAAGAACACATGATTTTGTTTGTGATACTGTTTGTCAGTAATTTACCTAGCATTGAATAGAAATGACGGGCTTCATTTCTTTCTCTGCTTAAAGGTCCAATACAAATGACGGTGTTTTATATGTTTAAGCCATGATCAGGTCACCGTAGCCTTTACCCACTATTCCCTGTGTCACGGTGAGAACGAGCAGTTCAGTCGGAAGATTCTTGTGCACATATATGGTGTAAATTTAGTGTAAGAACATAAGGAACGAAAGGCTTATTTACTGCGCATGCGCATATATTAAAAACAGTCATTTACTTGAAGAAAATGGACCTTAAATGGTGTTTTTTAGTTAAATTTCAGATATACAAGCTTTGCTTTCAGAATGAAATATATGCATTGGTGTGATTGGCTGATAATTTATATTCGAATTTTATGTTCACAAGCACTCGTATTATCTTCCGTTATAGACATATTAACCAGTCCCGGCGTTTTACTTGGACAGCCCGAGGTTACCAAATTGTCATGTTCTTTCTTTTCAATTTTTATTTTCATGTTATTTTACCCGTAACAACAAATACACAATCTAAGAATGTCAATAGAAACTTTCAATTTATCATTTTAATTTGAGGACAAGGAAGAAAGTATATAAAGATAAAATTTAAGTTGTGAGGGGATATTTTCATTTTTCACGTTTTATAGAGTTAACCGCTTAGCATTAAAGGAATCCAACTAATGTGAGATTTGAGTCTCAAATGAAATTTTCAAAGTTTGGCCATGAATTGGGTATATTTTTTTATTTAAGCTGTTCACTAGAGCTAACTAAATTACACACTTAAAATAACGTTATATATTAACCATTGATATTGTTATTATGTAACTTCCAATGCAAATTAACGTCACTCTACAATAATGACCAACAAAAAATAATAATAATAATAATAATAATAATAATAATAATAATAGAACAAAAACAAAAATAACATATATCGATGAATAAAATTTGACGTTCTTTATTGTAATTGTCACAAAATCCCATTGTATATCAAGATAATGTCAAAGCCGAAATGATAAAGGTCAACACAATAGCAATATTCGCAGCCACTTTACCAGAGTTTAAATTTTTCTTTAGAATTCAGGTTACAGTTTTCATATGTTTAGTAAAATAAATCAGTCCTTCCAATAACACTTGACGGAAACTATCAAGATAAATGTATATAGAGCATGATTCTTATTTTTTCTTTTCCTCAATCCTTATACGATGAGCATTAATTGGCTCAATATAATAGCATGCTTTTGATTACATATATTATGTAAAACATTATGTCGTAGGACATAATTATTTTATTCGTCTACACCCATTTGGTCTAGAAATAACATAATAACAAAAACACGAACACATGCATAAGTATCTATTTGCATTTGGTATGACATTAACAGAGTAATTTTGCAAACATTAAAATTGTTTTAGAAGTATTTTCTAGTCACCATGCAGGCAAATTATTTCTTGTTATAAATGCCCCTTCTGTTGTTTGTGGTTGACTTGCCATGTGAAATATTTATATATATTTTTTATCATTATTTATGTTCTTTGCATTGTGCACACTGAAGGGTATTGGTGCCGTATGTACGCAAAAATGGGTAGAAGATGCAACTTCTCTGCTGCACATTGGACACGATTTGAAACATCATAACAATGATGTGGCTGTATTGTCTACCCCCACCCCTTGTGTCTAATGGGTTGCCTTTTAGGGTTGAGGCATCAGAATTGAAGCCACCGTTGATCCCTGCGTGATCGTTAGAGGCGATTTAATTGGTTCGAATGATTGAAGACTATGCACCTCTTTGATCCGACAGGAATGTGGTTTTGACCCCTAGTGGTTTGTACACCCGAGTTTAGCCAAAATCATCTTTCCTTTTTCGGCGCCCTATGACCTAAATTGTATTGGTGCGCCGTAAAACCAAACAAAACAGCTTGATAACGATATACTATAACTACACACCGTACAATCAAATGGGCAGACAGCAGTTCAAACGTCGACAGCTGTACCAGTATATAGATGTCGGCGCAGGAAACACAATTGACGGACGGTAAGTATTCATCGATTTTAACATATCCCAACTGTGTTCAAGTAAACAATGTTATGGATTCGTATTCAACATCCAAAGAAGCAAACTAACAAATTTCTGGTCCTGTGCAAGCTTTGCTTCATGTGAATTTTGACTGAAATAACCACACTATCCGATGAGATGCGGCATTTTCAATTTTAAGTCACAAAAACATATTTTCTCATGATAATAAATCCTTTGATTATACAAATCGTAAACGTCAACATTCCGTCTTAAATATTCCAAACCATACCTTCAAAAGTGCTTTTCTTTTAAAGTTATATGGTATTTAAGTTTGAGTGTTATCAAAATTTTAGTAACGTCATCAGCTGTTCACCTCTTTTTAATAATAACATCGACAGCCATTCATCGTCAAGAATGAATAACGCTGAAAGCTGTTCAAGGAAACAATTTTCAGCGCTTTTGTGCTACAGTAACTAGGAAAGAGTAAAAAAAATTGGTTAATTAAAAATATTACTTTATTCATGATACTTTCTTATAGAAGTCATGCTTACGAAATCCATCTACTCTTCAATAATTTCTAAATTTTCCACCATAATAAATGACTTATTTAATAGGATGTAAATTAATTTAAAGTATGAGTAAGTTTGTTAGTTAGTAAGTTAGTTACTTAGTTAGTTATTAAGGTGCAAGTCTTGATCAAATATATTTGAACGTCGCATTGGATGCGCTTTGCATCAATGCTTTCCTCTAATCTTTTGGGAGACGTGCACAGTTTGTTTAGAAACCATGCGTGCCCTTCGAATTTAAAGCTATCGAGATCTATGAAACATAACTAATGCATTTATTCTATCTTGATTGATGATATTGGAATTTGCATTATGCTTGCTTCCATCTTGCTTTATGATAATTAAACTGTGCATTATGCTCGAGTCCATTTTGCATTATTTTATTCAAACTTGCGTAGTGACCAATTCTTCATTGAGTGATAGCTATTGAACTTGAACAAACAACTTATCGTACTGTTTTGTAATATTTAAAAGTTAACGTCATATACCCCTATGTATAAGCTTCCTTTCTTCATGCTCTATACAAACTATTTACAGTTTAGTTCCTTTTTGTATTACTCCTTTTGTAGAAGTCATTCAACTATTTTTATGCCTTTGAAGGGAGGCATAATATAATCGCACCGTCTGTCCGTTCGTCTGTCCGTCTGTGCGTCCCCACTTAATTCGTGTCCGGACTGTAACTTTGTCATACATTGAGGGATTTTGAAATAACTTGGCACATATGTCTACCACATCAAGACGATGTGTCGCGTCCAAGAACCACGTCCCTACCTCAAAGGCCAAGGTCACACTATCATTTTGAAGTTTCACATTATCGCAATTAGAGTAAATAGGTACACACATTCGTGTCCGGACTGTTACTTTGTCATGCATCGAATGATTTTAAAATAACTAGGCATAACTGTCTACCACATTAAGACAATGTGTCGCGTCCAAGAATTACGTCTCTACCTCAAAGGTCACGGTCACACTATCATTTCGCAATAAGAGTAAATAGGTACACACATTCGTGTCCGGACTGTAACTTTGTCATGCATTGAATGATTTTAAAATAATTAGGCATACATGTCTACCACATAAAGACGATGTGTCGCGTCCAAGAATTACGTCTCTACCTCAAAGGTCAAGGTCACACTATAAACGAGATATTTTTCCGTATTCAATGTATGTATGTATGTATGTATGTATGTATGTATGTATGTATGTATGTATGTATGTATGTATGTATGTATGTATGTATGTATGTATGTATGTATGTATGTATGTATGTATGTATGTATGTATCTATGTATCTATGTATCTATGTATGTAAGTATGTATGTATGTATATATGTATGTATGTATGTATGTATGTATGTATGTATGTATGTATGTATGTATGTATGTATGTATGTATGTATGTATGTATGTATGTATGTATTGTATGTATGTATGTATGTATGTATGTATGCATGTAACCACTCTGCGAGAATGCAAACATGGCTCCGCATTATTTATCCATGCACTTTCATTTCTCGGATTACACAGCCATTCACTGCATTGGACATGTCCACCATATGCCATTATTTATAATAACACTTGATGGATGCCTTCATTTATAAGACTGAATATTCGTATTAAGCGTTAAATTTGCCTTTACCTAATTTGAATTAAACATTTCAGAAACATATTTATAGATCTTGCTACCTTTTTTATATTGAAATACAGTGCGGTAAATGGACATAAAGGTCTCTCAGCTAAGATACAACAAATAATAGCCCGTCAACAGAACTCAGGAACACACACACACACTAACTAACTAACTAACTAACTAACTAACTAACTAACTAACTAACTAACTAACTAACTAACTAACTAACTAACTAACTAACTAACTAACTAACTAACTAACTTACTAACTAACTAACTAACTAACTAACTAACTAACTAACTAACTAACTAACTAACTAACTAACTAACTAACTAACTAACTAACTTACTAACTAACTAACTAACTAACTAACTAACTAACTTACTAACTTACTAACTAACTAACTAACTAAGTAACTAACTAACTAACTAACTAACTAACTTACTAATACTCATACTTTGAATTAATTTACCTCCTGTAAAATAAATCATTTATTATGGTGGAAAATTTAGAAATTTTTAAAGAGTAGATGGGTTTCGTAAGCATGACTTCTATTAGAAAGTAACAGGAATAAAGTAATATTTTAAATGAACAAAAAAGTTTAACTCTTTCCTAGTTACTGTAGCACAAAAGCGCTGAAAATAAATTCGTTGAACAGCTTTCAGCGTTATTCATTCTTGCCGATGAATGGCTGTCGATGTTATTATTAAAAAGAGGCGAAAGTTTTCATGGCATTATCCAAATTTATTATACCTAATTCTTTTGATGTCACATTATAACTTTGTTTCTGATAATTTAGCATATATACACTTTTATATACACACGCTGATATTCTACATATACTTATACGTGTTAGACGTAAAGTGTAACGTGTCTAAAGTAAATATTAATTAAACGTGATTATAACTGTAGACGTTTGAAAGAAATGTAAACGTATAAGTCAAACGTATAAGACACAATAGCGATTATCCATGAACGGCATTGATTAAGTGAAAGCAATTGTGAAAAGAATGCCTTATAAGTTTCTGTAAAAAAAAGTACTAAAATGACACGTGTACACACGTATAAATAAGCCAACCAATCAACAAACCAGCCGGCCAACCAACTATTTAAAGTTTTTAAGCTCGCATAGCTCACTCGGTT